TGAAAAAGGAGACGTTATATAAACAAACATCAACACAGTGATGGAGGGGATGAGCACAAAACATGAGAAAACAGTTCACACACAAAAAAAGAAATATAGCTGGCTTTTAAGCATCTGAAAAGATGTTCAGCCTCGTGAAGAGTACAATGCAAGCAAAACAAAATTATGAGACTTAGCTTTTCACCTATCAAACTGGAAAAGAGAGAGATTGGGTGACCTGTAGTATGGAGTGGGTATGGAAGAGCAGTGCATAGATCATGGGCAGGAATCTAATTTGACAGTCTGTTTGGAGGGTTATATATATTTAAATATATATATATTTAAATTCACAAACTCTGTGAGCTCTAGAATAGGGTGACATGCTTCTAGAATGTCACCCTATGAACATAATTGCATGGAGGCACAAAATACATAGTAATGACAGGATTTGCTGGACGACTGTGATTGTGGCAAAAGCCCAGAAGCGACGTAACCTCTTATCAGTAGGGGCCAGGTGAAATAATGACCTGTTAAAGGACAGGTTAAATCATGTGTCTACATGGTGACGTGCCCCACAGGCATTAACCTTCTCCAAGACAGACAGTAAGTGAAAAAAAGGCTGTGTTCCACTGTCTGCACAATGTGTTCTCATCTGTCTTTAACAAATGGTGTCAAGAGGTAGAGGGGAGGATTTGAAAAATATCCACATTTGGAATACCTCCAGCCACAAGAAGCTGGAAAGAGTGCTTGCCACGAAGGAAGGAAGTTTAGGAATGGGCGTTGGGGAGCAGTTAAGCATCAGGGTGGGGAAGTTTTCCCTGGCCTACCGTATTATGGATACTATTGAGAAGATTTCCTATGTTTATATACTCAGCCCCATCCCATACCTTGTCACTTAAAAATGTACAAATAATGCAAAGAAAAAATAAAGGGGAAGGAGAGGTGGCATTTAAGGAACATTTGACCTAGTTCCCGTTTTGCCTGGGGCTGGCCCAGCAGCGCGGGTGGCTTCTGTAACTAATGAGCTCCGAGAGGAAGGGTTCGCCAGGCCACACAGGCCCTGCATCCTGCAGCGTGGCATGACCTCTGGGGCACCTCCACAGTCCAGAGTCTGACCTTCTGCTCAGCAAACTCAAAAACTCGTATTTTTTTTTTTTAAGTTACCTGGAGTCAAAGTACCTCTCAGAGGTCATTTTAAAAATAACTCATGAATTAACCACATGGGCAGTTTATTGGTTCAGGAAGAGACAATAGAGCTGTAAAGGGGACCGGCCACCGGTGACCTGGTCCCATGGTCCCACCATAGTCCCACCCATATACAGGGGAGCACATTATCATAAGCAGGATGCCTGGGGAGCTCAGAAGCCAAGCGCGCAGACTTCGAGTTGGCTATAGGATTTAAATATTTAATGCTTCAGCTGTGATAACCTGATGGTGATGGTGATGATGATAATGATGATGATGGTGGTGGAAAAAAGTTGCCTTTGTAAAGAGATGTGAAATAGGGAAAAATACTTTACAATATCAGGGGCTGGCAACTATGAGAAATAGGGAAAAATACTTTACAATATCAGGGGCTGGCAACTATGAGATGTGCTGATGTGGCCAGCACAGTGTTTGGCTGGCAGAGAGTTTAGACATTTTTGCATTGGGAGATTTCATTTGCAAATCCTCAAGTTGGGTTTTCACGGAAATACCTTCTGGTCCACCGAGGGGTTCCCACAGGACAGCCATGCCCAGAGCTGAGTCGAGCCCTCCAGACACAGAGCGTTTCCAGTTCTCTGCAGCCTCCACATCTCCCAGGGGACGTGCCCTGTCTCAGAAGCAGGGGTCCTCATGCCTGAGGGAGTGTGTGAAGCTCCTGGAGGGCTCGTGAGAACAGATGGCAGGCTCCATCCCCAGGATTTCTGATTCAGGAAGTCTAGGTGGGGCTCCCGAAACTGCAGGTCTAAGTAATTGGTGGTGATGGGATGCTGGCCTAGGCCCACTCTGGGAACCACTGGTACATAGCACAGCTTTGCAGCTACGAAAGGAGCCACACTCTGCTTGTATTTTCCGTCTCTTGTTCCCAGAAATATTTGATCTTCAAGGTACGCTTTGCACATTTCAGATCTCACCTGCTGATACGTTGCTTTATTTGTCAAACTTCCAGAAATTTGGAGGGAGCCTTACCATGTCTTTGGTCTCACTGATTTATTATTTTTTATTTTTGTTAAATTGGAAGTGTTGCTAAATTCTTCCCAGTTTGATAAAAGGGTGTGAAAAGCAGGCATTGAGAAAATGTCCACTCTAGGATTAGAACTGTGAGGGGAAGTGTTTCTTCCACTCGAGATCTGGTTGAAATGCACCCTGCAGATGTCCACACCCCACCCTCTCCTCTGGCCCCACCCCAAAGCCACCCCTCTTCCTTAGTGAGAAGGTGCTCCCAGGGTTTTCCTCACTAGCAGATGTGCCCTTTTAACCATGTTTGTGTTACGGGAGAAGAAAATGTCAATTACATCGTCACAGCATTATCGACGCTCTCAAGAGAGCTTGGTTTTATGCTACTATTTGCCATATATCTCCTTAGGGGTCTTTTGTAAAATCCTAAACTAGAAAATAATCATAATCCTGGTGGGAAAAGCCTTTCCAGTATTTCCTTCCTAAACTCTTGAGGCTTAGCCTTGACTCTCTCCTTTTAGCTTTCGGGTGAAAAAGGTGAGTGGCAGCTGCCACTGCCCCACTTTACAGGTTGGAAAAGTGATTGCTGATTATGAATAGAGGTTGTGGCCTCAGAGCCGCCCATGTCCTCCTATGTGCAATAGCACATTCTCTTTCTAGGACAATTAGCTTGGTCTGGCCCCAAGGGGGGGTGTGCTGGACTATATGTGCCTTGTAACTGCATGATCTCTGAATCACTGGGGATTTAGTTCTCTTTTATAACTCGTCAGTGTCCATGCACGAGCAGAACACACAGGGCCCCGTGCAGTCAGCTGGAGGGGTGAGGCATGATGTAGGCTCTCAGGCCTGGGCCTCCTCAAAGATGGTCTGATTCAACGAGAGGCAATCCGGTTGCACAACCCACCGTGGGTAGGAGGTCCGGAGGTGTCAGGGACTGTCTCCTGAGGCCACCGTCTCCTAGGCTGTGTACAGATGCCATGGAACAGTACGACGAAATAGCTAAGGGATGCCATCTCTTCACGAAATACCTTCCCGTGACCTCATTTTCTTCCCCCCAGCCCCCGCTAAATTCGGACAAAGCAATAGAGCTGGGTGAGCAAAATACACCCTTGTCAAATAGGAGGCGATTTTTTTTTCATAGAAATGATAGTGAGTTTCTTTTGACAATACTGATTTTCTTAAAGGCTTCATTGTACCTTGATAGTGTTTTAAAATCAGCTCTGTCTGGTTGAAGTGTTTACATACAATCAAATTCTCCAACTTTCATAGCACAAAGGGTTTTGACAAATGATACAGGCGCATAACTGCCACCATAATCAAGATAGAAAATCTTTCCATGATCCCCAAAGTTCCCTGGTGTCCCTTTCAATACCCCCCACCCCTACCTGCCCTGCCTGCCCTGACTGTAGGTATGGAAAACCCACACCTCTGGTGTCAGAAGTGGTGTGAGTAGTGGAGTGTGGAGAGGGGAGACAGAACGGTGTTTTTTTCTTACACTAGGAAATTCTAAAACCTCTGCAATGATTCATCACCTCATGGTTCAGGATATGAAACTGCAGCCCAGAAACTCACATGTAAATGACAGCAACCATCATATACTAATGACAGCTAATTCATGCAGAGCACTTACTGTGTGCCAGGCACGGAAATGTGGGCTTTTATTATATCTCATACTATGTTGTAGGTACTTTTATCATCCTACTTTACAGACAAGAAGGCTGAGGTTCAGAGATGTTAAGTAATTGGCTCAAGGTCACACAGCTGGGTGATAAAGCCACAGCCAGATCCCAGAGTTCTTACGCTCAACAACTGGGGTATACTGCTTTTTCTTATATAATTTATAATTTGTATGTATTCTTCACATAGTGGGGCCCAGCCACTTTTGATGCATTGAATTTATCATCTTATATCCCAGGATAAAAACAAATAGATAACTATATTGTCCAGTTTTAAAACTGCCCTCATATCAGGAAATTTCTATTGTTTTGTGTTCTGTATCAGTTTCTGAGGAATTCCTAAGTGCTGAGTAATATGTAAAATGCTTCATGAATGATCTCCTTTAATCCTCCCAGCAATTCTGTGAGGTAGGTCTTCTTATCTCCACGTTAGAGGTGAGGAAGCTGAGGCTGAGAAAGTCAAATGACTTGCTCTAGGTCATACAGCTAGGAAGTTACAGAAGAGGGATTTTGACCCAGGTCTGTCTGACTCCAAATGCCAAACTCAGAGTGTTTTCACTCGATCGCTTCCATCTGATCTGCTGTAAACCCACAGCATCTTCTAGCTGTCATTCATCCTCAGGAGACATGAGTGTTGTTACGAGCTGAATTGTGTCCCCTGCACCCCAATAAGATGAAGTCCTAATCCCCAGCACCTGTGACCTCATTTGGAAATAGGGTCTTTGCAGATGACCAAGTTAAAAGGAGGACACTGAGGGTGGGCTCCAATCCAGTGTGACTGTGTTCTTATGAAAAGGGGCAATGTGGACACAGAGGCAGACACGTGTGGAAGGAAGAGGCTGTGAGGACACAGAGGGAATGCCATCTAGAAGCCAAGGAACGCCTGAGGCTGCCAGAAGCCAGGATGGAGGCAGGGAACAGGTTCCCCCCACTCAAATTTTCAGAAGGCACCCACCCTGCCATCACCTAGATTTCAGATTTCTGGTCCCCAGCACTGTGAGGCGGTAAATGCCGGCTATGTAAGCCACCCGTTTGTGACACTTGGTTAGGGTAGCCCCAGGAAAGTAACACAGGTATTTCTGCAGTGAGCCGTGGCTTCCACCCGTCCACGGTGTCTCACCATAACCAGGACCGCAGTCCCTCCCCGCCAGCGAGGAGCAGCCCGCTCCCCAGCATGACACTGACCTTCGTCGTATAGTTGAACCGTGTAGGTCGATATGATCATCCCGTTTTGAACACGCTCACCTCCGGGTGACACCTGGAACAGAACATGGGCCAAGGGCAGTCAGGTCTTTTGGCAAAGCCAGAAGAACTCAAGGCTGCAAGGAGCCTCATAAAACTAAGCTTAATGTAAGAGCTGTGTTGTTAGAGACTGCCCAGGGCTCTCTGCTGCCTCGGAGAAACTAGAACACACTCCAGGGACTGGGTTCCTGAGATCACCCATACACTTCCTTGTTGATGCTTCAGCTCAATGAACCCCACAAACTCAGGCAGGGGGGATCCCGTCGTACAGCTGGGACACCCAGGCTAACTGGGGCACTTGTCTGATCCGTGGGGAACAATAATTTAGCACGCTGACTCCCAAACCCATGAGGCGAACCTCATTCCACTGTCCTGCACACACACACCACAGTGAGCCAGGCCTTCCATCAACTTGACAAACACAGGAAGCTCATTGTTGCTTTTTTTTCTGCTCCACACCCACTTCCTCCAGCTTCATTGTTACGACCTCTTTCCAACTTTTTTTCTCTTCTGTGACTTATTGCAGATATTAAACAAAGACTTATATACCAGGGATGCCAAAAAATGTATATACATGACTTCTATTCATCTTTTGTTATCGGTATATATTAAGTATTGCAATTTTAATACAGTTTTTTCCTTTTTTAAAATGTGTACAGATTTTTTTTGCATCCTCTGTATCGGGTCTGACAATTAAGTTCGCAAACTTTCCACTGTGTAAACCAACAGTGCAAAGTTTGTGAACTTAACTGTCCTAATATGTATATATGTATGTATGTACATTTATGTACATGTATACACACATGCATATATACATGCATACATACATATACATACACTCACATGGGAAGAAAAATGTTGCAAAAGAATAAATGTTATATAATGTTATTTTGGTAACAAAATAATCTAAATTATACCACTAATAGTTGACATTAATTGAATATTAATTGTATGCTATATTCCTTTTTTTAATTGTATGCTATATTCTTTGCATATTGTCTTAGTTTTCTAATTCTATTAGTAGTATAATATATGTTAATAAGTGCAGAGAAAAATAAAAACTAAAAGACTATATAGCAATCTCCTAAAGGTAGGAACCTCCTGGGGGGAATACAGAAGACTTTTCCTATCTTTATATTCTTGTAACGGTTTTCATTGTTTAAAATAAGCCTGTGTTTTTGAATTTATCTTTAACTCTACCAAGAAGTCACAAAATCTTAAACATCATGCAACTATTTGGCCCCGAGGTTATGACTGGCTTTCTTGCGCCAATACTTGATGTGCAAATCTGGTTTCTTTGGCTCACAGAGTTTTTAAAAGTATTTTGGAATCAGTTGCTAATATCAACACTGTTTCCCAGCTCCTAATGAAAAGTAAGACTCTGGAACATTCTGAGGGTGTGTGTTGGCCAGCAGCCTTCCGATGGGCCCCACCCTATTGCTGCATTCATTTTTGTGACTCCCTCATCCCTGAAGGCCCGAGGCTCCCTGAATTGGAGTCGTTTGGGGAATTTGAGAAACTACTGATGCCTGGGCCTACAGCAGAGGTTGTGTTTTCATTGCTCTTGGGGGCTAGTCATTAAGAGTTTTAAAAGCATCCCCGGTAATTCTAATATTCAGTCAGGTCTGACACCCACTATGAGTTTGCAGCCCATTTCTTCAAACCCAGACTTCCATTCGGAGCAGGAGTTCCTTCTCTGACATGATTTGTGTTAGTTCGTAGGTATTCTCTTTCCCTTACAGGGATTTCCATGTTAACTGGGTTCCAAGTCTTAAGCTGACTTGATCTCAGAAACGCTGATGATGGAAATTTAGACTTCTGGCCACTGGTCATAGACGAGCTAAGGAGAAGCATTTGGGGGTCCCGGGGCTCAGTCGTTCAGGACAGTCTTTTAAAAGAGGGATTCCTAAACTAGTGGTCCATCCTTTGGCTGCACACGCTACAGCTGGGGAGCTCGGAAAATGTGAAAGGCTGCCCTCACTCCCACACACAGATTCTGATGTGACTGGCCTAGGGTGCGACTTCAGCCCTGCCAGTTTTTACAGTTTCCAAACGATTGTAGTGTGCAGCCAGGGCTGTGAGCTACTGGCCTAAACCTGGGTTTCTCGCCCTCCACACACTGACATTTTGGGCCAGGTCTTTCTTTTTTGGGGGCGCCGTTCTGTGCATTACAGGATGTTTAGCGGCATCTCTGACCTCTGCCCCCTAGACCAGTAGCACCACCTGAGTTGTGACAACCAGAAATGTCTCCAGACATTGCCAAGTGTCCGCTGGTGGGGACAGGCAAAGTCACCCACAGCAAGGAACCACTGGTCCAAACCTACCTGGGAGCAGGTACCAAACTGGCTCCACAGGAATCACCTTGGAGGGTTTTAAAGACACAGGATCCGTAGGCTCCCAGCCCTGACATTTCTGATTCCGTGAGTCTTAGGTGGGGCCTTAGAGCCGGCATTTTCAACAAGCTCCGTGATGGGTTCTGGGGGTTTGATTACAACCGAATGGCCCAGGGGAAGGGCAGTAACCACGCTACCTTGTAAATGTCTGATTCTGAATCATTCTCTTGGTCTTCAGCTCTTTGTGGAACACTCATTTGGTTGCCCATTGTTCCTGCAATGGAGAGAAAAAGAGAGAGAGAAATTAAACCCCAAGACAAACATCAGTCTTACTCCTGCCTGTGAAGCCAGTGTGCAGAGACCTGACAAGGTACATGGTGTGCTGTCACCAGCTGGGGTAGACCAGCTGCTTAGATTCATTTTGGGAGGTGAGAGGAGGTTTTGGACTCGCTATTCAACAGAGCTAAAGTCCAATGCAGCCCCAGTTTTCAATTGCAGGTCATTGCTGGGGGCAAATCATTATCATCATGAAAAGGGTATTCAGTGTAAGTAAGATTTTCTTCCCTCTTAGCTAGTCATGGCTATTATATCAAGGAGATATTAGGAGGAAGATAATTAAAATAATACTTTCAATTTTTAGTATCCTCTGATCCTCAAACTAAATTAGGTCTCCTGTTAAAACCCTACCTAGCACTGGCATTTTTTTTTCATAGCATTCAGCACTGCTTGTAATTATAAATTTATTTGGCTATATTTTCATTCATTCATTGATTCAACAAATATGTAGAGAGGTACCAGCTCTGCACCTTATGCTGTGCTAGCTACTAGGGTTACAACTGTGAATTAAAGAGACAAGTTCCCCTGACCTGATGGAGTTGCTATCTAGGAGGTGGACAAACAAACAGAGAAGAAATCCACAAATGAGGCCATTTCCGATGACAAGACAGCATGATGCAGTGGTTATGGACACAAAGCCTAGAGCCAGACAGCCTGGGCTTGAACACTCTCTCTGCCCCTCATCACTGTGTGTCCTTGGATGATTTAATTAGCCTCTCTGTGCCTCACAGGACTGCTACAAGGACTCAATGAGTTAATGCTTGTAAAGTGATTAGAGGGCCGCTGAGTGGCTCAGTTGGTTAAGAGCTCGCTCAAGAGTTTGAGCTCTGAGCAACAGCGGTTCGAGTCAGCCCGAGCTGAGCAGCCGTGAGCTGCCAACAGGTGGCGGGATGGCTCAGCTAAAAAAAAAAAAAAGTGATTAGAATAATGTCTAGTTCATAATAAGCAATACATAATATTTGTTAAACAAAACACATAGGGTTCAATGCTATGAATAGAAGCATATTGGTAACCTAACAAAAGGCGCCCATGGCCGAAGGCATGAGGTGGCAGTGCTAGGTAGGATGGTTCCGGAGTGAAGTAATAATTGACCCAGACTTGGAGGGCAAAGCAGAATATTTAACGTCTGCCTCCCTTTCCCAATGAATTGTAAGTAGCATGAGGCCAGGACTGTCTGTGTTTACCCACCGTTGTGTCTCCTATTCTCAGCCCTGCATTTGCACTTATCAGGGGCTAATTATTACTTATTGGTTGAATGGAGGAAATAATCATTGAAAACTAGCTGCTCTGCTGGCTTTCAGAATACAAGGCAGAGCTTCTGCTTTTTGGCAGAAAGCAGCCGGTGCATCTCCAAGGGTTCGCAGGGGCCTCTCGCCCGCAGAATGAGTTTTTATGCCCTGGTAATTGACACGCTGAGTAATCAGAAATTACGGAGGCCGAAAAAGGGTCATAGATCTCACCACCTGCTCTCTTGGGGGAATTTGGTAGAGAACAAAATCTGGGGGTTTGATTTGTTTTCTAATCATACCATGTGATAAAGCTGACTCATGCAAAAACAGACAGGACACTGGTTATCTTGCAATATTTTTTCTATTTATAAAATCTGTGCTGTGCATACTTACAATAGATCCTCACTTCATCTACACATGGGACATTATGAATATGATGTTGAATCTTTAAGACCAGGGTCAGCAAGTGACAGCTGAGGGACAAATCCAGCCAGTGCCTGTCTTAGTACGGTCAGTGAGCTCAGAATGGGTTGTACATTTATAGGCGGATGGGCAAAGAAAAATCAGACTCACGGATTGTGACACATTATAATTATATGAAATTCAAATGTTAGTATTGATAAATGAAGTTTTATTGGAAGACAGCCATGCGCATTCATTTATGTGTCATCTGCGTCCGGCTGCTTTCATGCTGCAAAGGCAGCACTGAACAGTCACAACAGAGACCGTGTGGCCTGCAAAGCCTGAGATATTTATTTCCTAGCCCTTTCCAGAAGTGTATCCAGATCTCCCTGGGTCATATGTACCCATTTTGAAAATAAGGGGATTGAGGCAGCTGAGAAATTAAATGTTGCCCATAGTAGGACTGACCAGGATTTGACCTACTGTGTATAAAAGTAGTGACAACAACTCTTACAACCATCATGATGATAAAATAGTAATAATGAGAGCACGACAACAAATCTGATGAGTGCTTACCACGTGTTGAGAAACTGTTCTCAGAGCTTTACTCACAGGAAACTAAGTTAGCCCTTCAGAAAATCAACAAGGCAGTGAGCAGTTCCATCATTCCAATTTTACGGATGAGAAAGCCGAGGTCCCTAGATTAAACGCCTTGACTCAGGCCACACAACAAATAGACACACACTGGACTGTGTTTGCCTCTAAATGCAGCTTTTTGCACACTTAACGGATTCACAAACTTTTAAAGCTCCTGCTCTTCAATTTAAAGTCAGCCCAAGTTGGGGGCCACTTTCAATAAAAATGTTCGCGGTTAGGAAAAGTCTTCGGGCTGGGAGACGTGTGACGTGTGCAAGCAGCAGAGCAACTTTTTCATTCCACAGAGTTGGGGCTGCGTGACCCTGGCTCGCTGCACAGACTGCACATGTTAAGTAGCCTGTCAGGACTTCGGAGCCAAGGGGACTGAAAGAAGGAAAAGCCATTTATTTGCATATCTTTGGCAGCGACAATCTGAATTCAGATAATATTGCTTTCCACCCGCGGTGATAATATATGTGCTGTGAAATTGCTCCCGCCTTTCCTTCAAATTTTGCAAAGGCCAGGATTCTTATGGGACAAAACCCAAAAGGTTACTGCCACCTGCTGGCCGAAATCAGTATCAGCCGCAATGAATGTATCCAGCTTACCGGGGAGGTCAAAATGTCTGGCGAGGTCAAAGGAAACGCTTTTACGTTTAGCAATCAAACCTTCAGTTAAAAGTTGTCAACAGAATGGCAAGTCTTTTAATGCCCCAAAGGTAGTCCCACTAATAAAACAATAATGATAATCACATCTGACGTGGATAGATGGAGAGCTTGCCGTGTGCTGAAGGCTCTAGGTAGAGAGCTGTGCAGCATGGAGGATAAGAATGGGGGCTCTGGAGACAAACCCCACGTTTGGAATGAGTGACCCAGGGCGAGTCACTGAAGGTCGCTGGGCCTCAGTGTCTTCTGTAAAGTGGGGGATAATCGTAGCACCCACCTTCAGGGGTTGTCGTGAGAATTAAATTGATAGACGCAAGGTACCCTGGAGAGGGCCTGGCATCCGATAAGTTCCTGATTAGGGTTATCATCATTATTACCACTGATATGTTCAGTCAGTGTCTCCCAAACTTGCCTGATAGTGAGACTCAACCGGGGAACCTGGCAGTACTTCCGATGCCCGCCGAGAAGTCAGGTCGGGGCCCTGGGTCTGCAGTTACAGCAAATACACAGGTGATTCTCATGGCCAGGCACATCTGGAAAGCACCGCGATGGTGACCATCTGTCCAGGGTGTCACAGGAGTGACACCTTGGGATGTCTGACACATGTTGTGGGATGCAGGACCTTTACGTGAAAACTGGGAAAGTGCCGGGTAAACCAACACGGGCTGATTGCCCGCTAAGCCGCTCAAGGACTCTGTGAGGCAAGGACTCTGTGTATCCCTATTCAACAGATGGCAAAACTGAGGCTCAAGGCGGTTCAGACAATAATTCCTGCGAGGTTTTTTTCTGATCTCCAGCAGATGACAAAAATAAGTCAGACAGAGCGTCTTTCATCCAGGAAAGTATATTCATTTGAAAGGGCTGGCTTTTATTTTGAAAAGGACAACGTTTGAAGGTGATGTCAAAATGCCCTTTCTTTCATGAGCCTGTGGTGTTAGTTGTTTTGTTTTTATGACCTTATGTGACATTGAACACGAGCTGCCATATGGCAGAGGGTTTTGTTGTTGAAACTGGACTCGCGTCTGTGGCTGTAGCATTTTGAGAATGTGGGGTAAGTCTTTCGCTGGGGGTCGGGTGTGGGTTGGTCATTGAGTTGAGTAAGTCTCTTTGCTTCGCCACTTCCCTGCTCTGTCCTTGAAGCCGATCCTCGGACAGGGCCGCACATTCGAATCACCGGTGAGGTTTAAGTGCCTGCACTCAAGCCCCGGCCAGACCAGCTCGGGCCTGGGCGTTGCTCTGTTGTCAAGACCTTTAGGTGCTGTCCATGACAGCCAAGGCTGAGAGCTGCCGTCTTGGATATTTTGGTCTGAGCAAGTGTCCCCCAGCCAGGGGTCTCTCCCGGGTGCCGCCTACCCTGACACAGAGAGCCAGGCTGGCCATGCTCAGGTGCAGGCAGGGCCCACACATCACTGGCAGCCTGGGCATCCGAACATGTTCACAACCCTTTCAGGGCACTCCTGTGGGCCCTTTGGTCTGTCAGCCTGCAAATCAAGACAAACCTCCCGGCCTCCATCTTTCCCGTGCCGAGAGTGGGCGTGCAGGGCTCGATGACAGCCTCCCCTTCCCACGTGGCTGTGGAGAAGTGAGGCTCCCATGTCTCAGGGAGGGGGGAGGAGGGCTGCCTGCGTCGGGAGCGAAGTCTCTCCCCTCCTTGTCTGGGCATCCTCTCTCCTCCAAGGAAAAGAGCTCTGGAGTGAGACAGGCCCCATAAGCCTCACGATTGTAAGGTTTTGGGGGAGGCATTGTGCACCCCCCGAACACATGTTTCTTGTGGAAAATGACGGTATTCATAAAGACGACAATGATAAACATTTTGGAGTATTTTCTATGCGCCGTGCATGCATGGATTAGCTTCCGGTCCTTGCAACAACCCTCTGGGTTGGATGCTATTATTTTCTCAATTTGCTGATGAGAAACCGAGGCACAGAGAGGTTGTGGCATTTACCCAGCAGTTCTCACACACCACAGTGTTTGTGGGAGAAGTTAAATGAGGTGGGTATGTGCCTGGCACGAAGCGAGCGCCCGACAAACGGTAGTGAGA